ATACTTTGTTTTTTAATACATTTTATATTTAAATATTTAAGTATAATTCATATTTCTTGTAAATAGTTTTTCAAAATATTTAGATATCATTTTATTAGATTTTCTTCTTTTTCTAATTCTAGTTTTTTAGAGGATTTTAATATATTTTTGGAAGTTAGATTTTAAAATTTTTTTTCTTATTTACCAGGATTTATTTCCTCGTGTGGGTCGATGACGAGACCTCAAAATTATTTTTCTGTGAAATTATTGATGTAAAACAATAAACCCGAGACAAATTCTTTTACATGTTCATTTTCTATTTATATCCATTTTTTATTCTTTTTATTTCTTTTTATCATTTTTTAGTTAATGACAAATTTTTAAAAATTATTATCGGTCAAACTATTGATAGACGATAATTTATTCGATACCATTTCATTTTCTATTTTATTTTCTTCCTCATTTTCATTTTATTTAATTTTTCCGCGATCTATGAAGTCTTTTATTCGTAAGCGTCGCGTATCGAAGTCAATAACCTTCTCGATTTCAAATCTATGGAAAAAGACCATTTGGGTCATTTTCTCTACTTTGAGATTGATAACGCGAAAATGTATATTATAAATGCGACGATTTTATGCTATTTATGTTTGGTTTCACCCTGATTTCGGATCAATCCGAGCTATTTCGTTAAGTGTTTTGCAGGTATATGAAGTTCACACCCCAAATGAGCAAGACAGAGAAAACTCGTGTTAAAACACACAAAGTAGATGAAAAGAGACAAGAAATAGCATAAATGAGGATTCTGCTGATATCACGGTCGTCACGCCCATGTGACGCCTGTCACAAGCATCACGACCGTCGCAGCTCCATGACGACCGTCACGCTTCCCACGAACATCACGCCCCCTCACGATCGTCATGCGGGTAAAAACTGAATAACTTCCAGAATTTAAAACGTGCCCAAGAAGACTAAAAATAGGTGAAATGTTTTTCCTACATTGCCTCACCATCAACTCCACTTCCTGAGGACTTCACGTAAGGAATTTCAACTATAAAAAGAGAAGCCTAGGACCAGAACCAGGGAGCCGCATTGAAGACCATGAAGTGCTACCAATTTTATTTCCGGAAACCAAATACTGCCTTGTTTCCTTTTTCTTTCTTTATTTTCCATTGCCTTGTTCTTATTTATTTTTTCGCACGATTAATTCTCGCCCAAGTAGAATCTTGCCGACATTGTGGAGGACTACTCAAGGACCGAGAGCTGAATTATTTACAGGTTTTTTTATTATTAATTGATTTTCCATTACCGTTATAATGCATTTTTATTTATCATTCTGCCATTGTCTAATTATGCAAGTTCTAAATTCAATGTCTAGCTAAACTGCATTAATCGGTATGTAATAAATTAGTAGGAAGGGATTCGATAACATCCGGTGCTTTTTCTGCCTTTCAAAACATGTTTCTGGCTGTAGTTTTTAATTAAAATTTCTAAATAAACCTTCGTCGCGATAGCGAGAAATATTTTACAGTAGTTTTCCACGACAGTGGGAAATTCATTAAGGTACGAACCTGCACGCGAAAGCTGGGGTTCGAACCAGATATTAAAAACTAGGCATTCATTTTAAATACAGCGAAAGCGCTTTAAAAGGAATCAGAACCTAATAGTTTTCAAAAAGAAATTTTAACCCCGAATGGGATAGAGAAAGCATACATTCCGCCTTAGAATTATGATTAGCGTCAACAACAAACGTGAGACGAAAGTCTTTGAACAATTATTTTCTCCTGAAAACTATTTTAAAAATATTAAACCGCGCCGGTAATATATCGAATTCCCGAAAACTAAGGTATTGCATACCGATTTCTCTTGTTATTATCTTAAAAAGCCTTATAGCTTCTTTTAAATTAGCCTTTAATTCCACACTTATTTACTAAAAACCTTTTCCGACTTAGCTAAACATAGTAACACTCGATAGCACTAGATTGATTACGAGTCCCTGTGGGATCGATATCTTTATTACTACACGACATACTGTGCACTTGCAGTTAGTTCAGATAGACTTAGAAAGTCGCGATCAGATATCGTGAAAGGTTACCCTCCATTAATCGACATAATGTTTGCGATTAAGACGAGATCCCGCCTCTTTTGGTTCGTGCGACACGATTAAATTGAAGAATGGTTCTCAATATCATTTCTCTATCTTGTTCATAGCACGGATATTAACTCACGCGACCTCCTATAGACCGACTTTCATTATAAGTCGAGCTACGATGGTTTAGCGTTACATTTGCCCCGATTTAATTCCTAACCACTAACTTTAATTTCCGTCAAATATCAATTGTTTTATTTTTCAGTCAAATATTATTGTTATACTATTGTATATTATTCATATTTTCCTATTCATATTCATCATTCTAATTCACCCATATTCAAAAACACTTAATGAACTATCGAAACGCTAAAAGCCAAATTGGTGGGCCACCTGACAATGAGACCCCTTTATTTCGTGCAATCTCGTGTAACTTGTATGTACCCATCTCCTTTTCCGATGTATGTTTCGTATTTCTTCGATTGTAGGTTATCTTCTAGGAGCACCCATAGGGACCAGCGTAGATCAGACTATTTTCAAACTAATTCTCGATTCGTCATCGAGCCACTTTCAAACACCCTCGTAAGTCAAGTGCTCTTACGCATCCGCCATCGACCTATTGCACACACTTCACAGTGGTTTCAATATTGGGGGCACCCTCAGGGACTAGTATCATTTCTCACAACTCGACCCTTGATACATAAGTCAAGTCGGTTCCATTTTTCAAACCATTTCCATTCCAACACGTTTTGCACGCGATAATAAGTCAAACCCTTGATCCAACGTCAAGCGGATTTTCATAACAAACTATCAATCAATTAACAACTATTTAATTCTTTTCAAGGTGTAAAGAGTGGGTTCAAGTCTTTGATCTTGCTTTCGGTTGTTTGGATGCGGGTTATCTTATTCGCGTGTGAGCAATTGACGCCTTTAAATAACATTAATAACTCGACAATGTTCAACCATCGTCCAACGACTCATCATTCCAAACACCATTTAAAACTCAAACAACCTTCTTTTGAGATGAAAAAGAGAGAGTTCTAAGTCTTTGGTTCGCTCTCCCGACTACTTGGGTCCGAGAAGTATTTCTTAAGCTTCAAGTAGTCGTCATCAGTTCAAACTCACCTTTCAAACACATTTCCTTCCGTGATGAAAAAGAGAGAGTTCCAAGTCTTTGGTTCGCTCTCCCAATTACTTGGGTCCGAGAAGTCTTTCTTAAGCTTCGAGTAATCGTCATTCGTACCCACTTCAAACCGCTTCAATCTCGTTTCTTGTCATGGTCGTTACCACGAACTACGACTGCTCTGATACTTCATTCTTGTCTGAATATAAGATACGTAGGCACAAGAATGCGATGATCTTGGTGAGCACACTTCTACCTTTCTCCACAATCCCCTCCATCTTCCATTTCCCCCCATTCTTTCCCGTAGTCAAACTATGACGCTCTGATTTCTCATTCTCGTCCGAATGAGCATACGTAGGCACAAGAGCCCCAATCCTTGGCGAGCACCCTATCTTCTAACCATTCTCTTTCCCCTAGCATCTTTATCCTTTATAGTACTGTTTTAGTATTTAGTATTGAGAAGAGAAGAATTAAGTTTAGCTAACATTCATCACAATTTAAATTAAGAGGTTCCCGTTGAATACAACGGACGTGAGGGGTGCTAATACCTTCCCGTTGCATAACCAACTCTCGAACCCAGGAATATCAGGTTGCGACGGTCGTGTTCCTTTCGTTTTTAAGAGGTTTTCTCGATATTTTCCTCTCCCATTCACACGGGATAAATAAAGGTCGGTGGCGACTATGTCGAACCGTATTTCCGCGCCTTTAGCCCGAGGGTCGTATGTTCGAATGAATTTTCGAGGTGCGACACACGACCTTCAAATCGCACGCAGAAAACCCCAATCCTTAAATCAAGAAAACAAACCCTAAACCTCTAAAGTTCCCAAAATCGGTTAACAACAACAAAACAGCAAATCAGAGGGGATTCCAGATCAAGCATGGCATGCCAAATAATCACAGAAGATAAAAGGAAAGAGAAAGGAGTCATTACCTGTGGAGAGCAAATCCAATGATGAGATAAGTGTCTATGTTCCCCTCTCTATCTCTCTCTCTCTGTGATGCTACTGCGTAACTCTTTTAGATGTTTTTATGCTTTTCATTCCAATTCGTATGGTGCATATTTCCCTATTGTTCTGTGTGTTCTACCTTTTTCTGTGCGATGCTACTCGCGTAACTCTTTTAGATGTTTTTATGCTTTTCGTTCCAATTTGCGTCGTGCATATCTCCCCATTGTTCTGCATGTTCTCCCTCTTTTATAGGCCATCAAAACTCACATTTGTGATTAATTGCTAGGTATTATGTCAGGGTTTCATTTGGAGAGGGACCCAACTTGTTGATTGTCATGATTCTTGCTTAATGATTTCAAAATTTTATATTTCCACTTTGAACTCAGTATGTCAGATTTACTTGTGTATGTTTGGAAAGGAATTAAGCTTGTCTTGAAAATATATGATACCATTGATGAGCATTGTTTGATGCACTTTCCATTACCATTTGTTTTAGGCCATGTTGTGATTAAGGTTATCCGAATGAAATGATAGTGATGATTTACTCCGTACATTTAGGTTTAGGGATTATTGATTCCTTGCCAAATCTTGATGATTTCTCCTGGTGATAACGATTTGGTTTCCGCTTTTGAATTGACCATATTTGGAACATAGAGATTTCCATATCTGCTCTTAATTTCCTTCCATGATTTGTTGCTATTGAATGCTAATCCAAAATGTTTATAATGCATGAAATAGGGATAACAATGAAGATTTACACTGATATCCTATCACTGCCCTCTTTACTAACATTGCCTTGTTTGTAACAGGAATCTTCTGGAACTCATGGGGGAACCAAACTATATATCTCACTAATTCAATTGCTATGCAAGGTACGTTCCTGGATTCAGCAGTTCAATGGAAATCATTGCTAGCATCTTCAAATGGGACCTCAAACAGGGCAGTAGAGTCATGCCTAATTCTCTCCTTATGTCGTAAGAATTTTAGTTTTATCAACGATTCAGTCTGTCCCTCATGAAAGGTTATGACTTTCTTTACATCTACAGGTCGTGAACTCTTTGACTCTCTATGGTGTAGGTGTTGGTGGTTCAGGTCAGGAGGTGGCTTCGAGGACTTTTGGGAGAGTTGTCCCTAATCAAGGACGTATACGCTGCGGTTTTCATTTCTAATTCTTCTTTTGATGGCTATTTCATATGATGTTATAATTCTGATATTGTTATTTGTTGTTGTTTTCTTGCAAGCAGAAAATCAATATGGATCTAGTTGTGATGGAAAGCATGTCTATAGCAGTTTCATGGATACGAGATATATTCGAATGGAAAACAAGTGTTCTAGCCTTGGTGACTGGCTTTATTTTGCAGAAAAAAGATCATGAGGTTTTGAGGCATGGACATGCTCAGGTATGGATTTCTCTAACAATGTATTTCTATGGTTGAATGAGCTTGTTATTAAAACATTTCCTAAACCTGTAGGAAGTGAAAATAGATTGTAAATGGTTACTGCTGAGTTAAGTTCATATTGTATGGATTTGAATTTTGCATTATGCCTTCCTTTTCGAACATCAATATTGTCGTAAACTTATTGCTTTTTCTACTATGGATTTGGACAGGTCCTCTACAAAATCACGACGCAGACGACTTTCTAGGAGCAATGTCAAGGTTGCGTATCGAAATCTATGTTTTGGAGAAACATTAATCCTCTTTCGATTATGTGCTTGGAAACGGTCCAACTTCCAAATCACAGGGTCATGTGATTGAGGTTGATGTAGGAATTTATCAAATCTATGAGGGAGGAACAGTGTAATTCATGGGGTGGTAGAATGTTGTAGCTCAAACATGGCTTTGAATTCAAATTCTGGAGTTAATTGCTTATTGTATTTGCATTGTAATGCCCTTTTGTTTTTTGAATTAACATCCGCTTGTAATTATTCTAAATTGATCCTCCGTGATTGGTATTTTTCAAATGGGGCTTGGATTCGAATCTTGATGTAAATTTGGACTCCTGGTGTAATACATTCTTATGTAATTTGAAATTTAGGGCGTTACATGTGAACTTTGTTCTTCTTTGTAGAAACCTTTGAAAGGTTAATGTAATTGCACTTGGTATTTCTTGTGTGGCTTAGTCACATGTGAACTTTAATTGATACTAGTTTCAGAATTATCTCGACTTTGTAAATTCGAACTTAATATCAGCAAAGCTTGTACACTTGTGTATCTAAGTATACAACATTCTTGACATAGCCTTATACTCTTAAATCTTTAAGTTTGAACTTGTATGAAAGTTGGGATTTCAAAACGTAAACTTGACTTTGATTGTTTGAACTTGAATTTGATGAGACTTAAACACATGAAAATATTATTATGCCAAAAGTCTTGCAATCTTGAACTTGAAGTTGATATTTCTAGTTTGAACTTTATGGACCCAACTTGGATCTTGGGATCAAATTGGATCACGAATTTTAAAATCAAATAGCAAATTCCATGAGAATGCTTATCATGACAAACCATTCCCTCGAATTTGGACATTTGAATGGTGATTATATCATGATCATGTTATGAAAACCCTTTACAATGGCCCAAAATTTCTTCAAAGAATAATATTCCCAAGACAACACCATATTGCAACTAGGCTTGAAATTCTAGAGCCCAGATCATAATGTACCAAGACTCTAACAAACTCAGGTTTGAGATCAATGCCCTAGTTCTCAAATTCGTATGCTCAATTTCAATAGATGAAAACTCTAATGCTCCCTGAGTATATACTGAAGCTTCTAAGGCATCTTGAGAGAAGTTACCCAGTAAAAAAACTAGGGCCTTGAATTACAATGGTTGTGCCCTCGAAATGCTTGACTGTGAGAGTACGTATCATTTATACTTGAAATCAATGTACCTACATATACTTGCTAGTCGTGGCGAACAAGCGCATGAAAACTTATGCTCTAAAGATGCTATGTGAGAAGATGCACAAAGAGGTGGGATCTTAGGGTTAAAAATTAGGGTGTGACACTTTTGTAAAGGGAAATAAGGGTTTAGGGTTTTAAGAGTCGTAGGCTTTCTTGTGTGTGTAAGTCTCCCTTTGTATCAGTTTGATACATTATGGTAGACATAGGTTTACAGATTCAAAAACCTATAGTAATGAATTGTATATTGTTCTTGGGTGAAACTTTGAAGTAAATCCAATAGAATCCGAGTAGGATTTTTAGTCAAGGTTGCTTGGTTGGACTTTGTATTGAAAGAGGAGTCTTTCGAGTAGGATGATGCAGTTGTTGTTGATTATAACTATTAGATATCACAGGTTATAATTAAGGGAGTGAGATGGGTTTCTCTTATCATAATGATAAAGTTTTCATTGGGTAGTGATAGGTAAACCAGAGGTTGTTTACTGTAAGTCAGAGGTTATTTAGATAAAACTATAATACTGATAGTGGATTCTTCTTCCTAGCTTGGTATCCTCCAGATGTAGGTGAGTTGCACCGAATTGAGTTAATATATCTTGTGTTATTTATCATTATGCAAATTTACAGTTCAGTATTTTCCTTTTGATTAACATGTTGTAACAGATGTCGAAACATATGTTGTGCTTCTGTTACTGATATTCAGAGTATCAGTTTGATTATTCTGCCTTTGTTTTTAATGTTATACAGAGAACAATGTTGTGACATGTTGTAGGACATTTATGATCTGCTAAGCCAGAATTTCAATTGGTATCATAGCAGACGTTCTGTCTGCTTCTGGTGATTTAAACATGGAGGAATTGGAGAGATCAGATCATTCATTTTGATATACTCAAGGGTATTGATGGTTGAGATGGGTGTTTTGGATCAAGAAGAACAACTAATGATGGTTGTTCAAGGTTTCTGAGGAGTTTCTACAACAACTGCAGGAGGAGTGGCTAGTTCTTCTGTATGGTGTTCTATAAGATGTTTTGACATCTTGTTTAGGGCATGTTGAAGATGTTCTTTAGTGGCTCAGCTGCATATTTTTCTGATGGAAGAACTTTGGTAGTCCTGTTATTCTGGAGTTGTGATTTGTTGCTACTCGAAAAATGCAACGACGGAGAGGCGAGAACGGAGAGACAAAAGAGTTGCCATCGAACTTTATTTATCCTATGAGGGGAAAGGAAAAACATCGAGAAAAACCTAATAAAGAAATGGATAAGATGGTCTCGTGACCAAAGAACAGGTTCGGAAGCCGGTTATGCGAAGGGAAGGTATTAGCACCCTTCGCATCCATCGTACTCAATGGGAACCATTTGTTTGTCTACGTGTGAAGGAATTTGCTAAAAAGTATTGTTATATAAGAGTGTTCCAAGGGATAAAGAGAGATAAAAGGGAAGAAAAGACTCGGTAGGACCTCGCGGTCCTATGTCTACGTATTCTCAATGGGTATGAGAAAGTCAAAGTCAACGTAGTTTGGGGAACTACGAATGAAAGAGGGGAAGGTTGCTCGCCAAGACCTCGACGTCTTGCGCCTACGTAACCTCATCTGGTATGAGAAATCAGAGTAAACCGTAGTTCGGGTAACTACGGGAAAAGGTCTCGATCGCACTGGGGCGAGAGAAAGGGGAAGTTAGTTGTTAGTGTGCTCGTCAAGGATAAAGACCCTCGTGCCTACGTATCCTCATTAGGGAATGAAGAATCAGAGCATTCGTAGTTTGGGCAACTACAGGTGAAAGGTAGAAAAGTGTGCTCGCCAAGACATCGTCTTCTTGTGCCTACGTATTCTCATCTGGTATGGGAAATCAGAGCAGACGTAGTTCGGGAAACGGATAACCGGTGTTTTTGATGGATGATGTTGACGTACGTGTTCTAGAAGTTAGGTGTATTGCAGCTCGCTCATGGAGTCTTAGGCATTACCTGTTTGCGGTAGAACGGACACAACATATCCTTTTTGAAAAGATTAGTTTTCGCCATTGAGGCAAGACGTCACATTTGATTTGTGGGAGTTGTTTTTAGGGGTGAAACAGATCCTCGGATAGTAACCCCTTACGGGTAGTACCCAATTCTTTATCTCAAAAGCTTTATCGTAAAAGAGTGTGGAGAATATAGTCACGTCTTCATGTTGAAAGACGAATATCGAGACCACACACTATACAGTGAGTATCCTGATACTCAGATAGGAAGAAGTCTGCACTCAATCCTCTCTCTTTAGTTCAATACAAAGAGAACTTTATTCTCTTCATTAAAGGTGTTTTGATCTTGAACGGTAAGTGTTTTACGACAGTGAACCCTAAAGGTAATGTCAAGCACTTGGGATAGGAGAAGGCCTACGCCTAATCACTCCACAACCATCCAAGTTTATTAAGAAAAAGGTTTGAAAATGCACTTGGTACGAGACCAAGGTTTTAGAAGAAGAGTTATAAAAGAAGAAGTGGTGAACGACAAGAAAACATGAAGCATCGCAATCGCAAACAACCTCAAGTATCAGAAACTTGAGTTAATATCCAAGGCAAATATGTACACGTGTCAATGAAGCAATATTCACGAATGCACTCGAAATAAAAATCGAAACTGAGAAAATAATTAGTCAAAGTTAAATCCAAAGTCAAAGTTAATGCTAAAAACAAAACTAAATTCTAACACCTAAATCTAATCAACCTAACTCAAAATAAATCTAAATTAATTAAATTCTATGTTAAAACTAATTTCTAATGTTTGACTAAAAACCTAATTCTAAATTAATTAGAACTAAAACAAATAAAATCTAAATAATCCTAAGTTAAAGTTATAACTAGACTAATTAATAAATCTAAACAAAGTTAATTCTAAAAGCTAATTAAATTAATTGGACTAAAACTACTTAATCCTAAAATTATGATTAATTTCTAAATTGAACCTCTAATTAACGTTAATCTTAATCTAATTCTAAAATTAATTAAAACCAAAATGAAAGGTTAAATCTAAATAAAATTAAAAGGAAGAAAATTTGTTAATGCCCTAATTAGTCTAATTGAAACTATACTAAATGAAAAGAAAGAACTAATTAAATTTAATTAAAAAGATAAAACGGGGGAGGGTAGATAGAAATCTGGGGTAGTGATTATGGGAGAGATCATCATGGGTCTTAGGCCCATTCACCCTCCACAAAACCATGATTGCGTTCAAAAAAAAGGGGAGGTGGAGTTAACACATGGGTGTACATCTGGGCCACAGGCCCATCTGATGGAAAAT